GTAAGACTATTCCATCTCTTCTGCTGTTTCCTCCTCAGCGTGAACTTCTTCTTCAGCTCTGGAAACATCCGTCTCAGCGTTCTCTTTTTTGGCCGGTTCCTGCTTTTTGGAGACCTGGAGAGACAGGACACAATCCATGTTATTGTTCCTACACAGCTGCTACTTGGTTTAATACATGCTTTTATTTTCTCTGATGTACCTTATAGTAGAAATGAAGGGCAATGTTCTCCAAAAGCAGAATCAGTGGTAGGAAAACATATCTCAGGATTCGAGTTCTTGAATCTGTGGAAAGAGATCTGTATCATCAGTATATCATCAGTGAGAGTGAGGGTTTAAAAGCCTTAGAAAACAAATTATATATATATATTAAAAACACTCCCTGTAAATCGTGCTATTTAACATAAAATAAATATTAAATGATGGGCTACCAGTAAGTGGCATATAAAATTCTACCCACCCATACCCCCATCACACTTAAATATCCCAGACACAATGTGGTGGCCACATTGCATCACTGACTGAACAGTAGCTACTAATGAACTACCGACAGATAGTCTTGGAAATCTTTAGGCAGTCATTAGATAGTTATTTTAGGTGTTTAGCTTCAATTTTATGATATGAGGGTCTTAAAGTGAGACTCTCAGCTTGATTTTAAAGGACTGGAAAAAAAAACATTTATTAGATGTATTTGCCAGTTTATACCCACAATTTCTCAGGTTCTCAGCAGGGGTTGTTTCTTTGTTCATCAGCCGCTTATAACAATTCGCATGGTTATGTTCGAGTTCAATCATGTACTCACAAAAAATACAATTAAAAAATAGAAAAGGAATAAATCTTATTTGTATTCCAGATACTTTCTTTATTCTTTACTGCATTATTGGAGTGATGTTTAAAAAAAAAACATGTAAATATGTTGCAGTGAATCTAGTGATCTATGTCATTCATTTACTGCCATTCAACAGCAAATAGAAATGTTGAGTTCATCTGTCTACTTACATATCACAAAGGCATGAATCCACTGAGCCTCTTGAGCAGTGATTTTCCTTGATGACAGCGTTATCTCATACACACAGCTGTAGTCGGCATCATGTTCAAGGTCAGCTACAGGAAAACTCAAGGAGGCTGAGTTGTTGACAGATGTCATGTTGTATTTCATATTAGAGCGAGAGAAGATGAGAAAGAAAACAGCTCCAGGATAGTGTACACTAGTTTTGCAGCTGAAGATGAAGCTGTAACCCTTGATGATTTCTGCACCTTCATAAACCTTGACCAGTCCTCCATTTGGAGATGTCACAGAGATACTGGGCCGCTCCAGTGACACTGAGAACAAAAGAAACAACAAATAAAGAAGCTTTAGTGAAAAAGAGGCACCAACTGATGGCAGAAAATTTCTATACCACTGATTTAATGTCATAGCTTTCAGCCTGTGAGGGTGGCACTGAAGGAAAAAGAGGGAGTGAGGTTGGGGAAGGACTTGCATATTTCAGCAAGACAATACTATTCATGTTAGAGGAGTCCGGGAGCTGACTCCCTGCAGTACAGTCCTTTTCCAAAAGTCAAGCAGCTGATCTCCTCAGTTCACAGATACTTACAGGCTGTCTGTTACAGCTCTAACACACCTGTGTTGTGTGACCTTTGCTCTCTCCAGGACCCAGCTGCTGCCGGTTGTCTTTTCCCTCCCTTTGGATAGACAAATTTGTGTTGTGGTTTTCCTTTCTTGTTTTGATATTGATATAACGGCATTGGGGTCTCTTTGTGTTGAGAATAAAGTCTATGATTTTACCATTTCTGCATTTTTTCATTTCTTTCTTTCTGTCCAGGCTTTATTCATTGTTGCTCCCCATACACTCCCCCAGATTCCAGGGGATGCTACACAGTGGCAAACATGACCCAGATTTTAGGAAGTAAAAATGAAAACTATTTTTCTTATTTTCGTATTTTTCTTTCAATCGTATATTTTCTCAGGTTAAACACTCTTTCAGTGTTCAATTGTAAATATAATATTGGTTTATGAAATTTGCTAATCATTGCTTCCTGTTTTTACTTTGATTTTACACAGCAGCCCAACATTTTTGGAAATATGTTGTACTTGTTTCTCCATAGCTATTGTCTATTACAGCTCACTCAGGAAAACTCCTGCATAGATGAATATTTTCAGGGTTTGCAGATAATATAGTCACATGAATATGATTAAGATCATGTCAATTTTTATTTATTGATCGCAGTATATATTGGCATGAAATGAAATGTAGTTCATGCCCTCAAAGAGATGATTGGGGAGTGAGTGTTGCTGGTATTTCTTATCTTAATGGATGTGATGTCATACTAATAACCTGTAGTGGGTGTAACAAGTACACATTACTGGTCCTGTCAAAGAAATCACTGTAATATAAACAATGGTACATTTTATTACCAATAACAGAGATGTTAGCAGAGTCACTTGTGGAGAAGCTGGAGCCGTATGAATATTCACACTGGTACAATCCGTCCTTGTCAAAATCTACTTTGAGGATCTTGAATGTAGCAGAGTTGGTGGTTGATGGTTTTGTCTGGACGAATGAGCCTGAAATCTGCTTCAGAGTAAATTCTCCTTGTAGAAGCTGTCGGCTTTGAGGTGATATTGAACAAGTGATGCTGAGATCACTTCTCCACTTAACTTTATTAGCAGGATTCATGGAGATTCTGGGCTTTGGGAGGATCACTGAGGAAATAGCAGTCACAGAGAGAGGATTCAATTAAAAATGGTAAAACGTTTAGCTTATTATATTAATAATATAATAAGAAACAATTTAATTTCTCACCTGAGCAGACAACACCAGCATCATCACTGTGTGTACAGTCATGTGTCCCAAATCCTCTGTGCTGACACTCAGTCAGAGATCTCTCACTTCCTGAACAGTCCACATCATCAAGCCAGATGGATCCACTTCCCTCACCAAAGCGGGCTGATACAGCAGCACTCTGTGCCGTTCCACAGCCGAGCTCTCTGCAAACCACCTCAGCATCATTTATGTCCCAGTTATCATCACAGACTGTTCCCCAAGTGTTGTTGTAAAAGATTTCAACTCTTCCAGAGCACAAAGTGCTTCCAGATAATCTGACTGGCACACCTAGGAACAGTGAGCATAATATAAAACAAAAACTTTTTTTATGGAATGAGTGTTATTCAGTGTGGAATTAGTTCATGACTACACTCATTTACTCACTCTGCATGCTGAGCTGCTCACTGATCATAAAAAACTACTAAAGAACAGTTTTATTTATGTGCTTCAGTGTTGAATGTTATCATAAGATGTTCCAATCAGATAAAATATTATTGTTTTGACAGTTCACACTCATGATGTTGCTGCTTTCCAGCAGTTTGCTTGCCAGATATTTTTCATGGTCCTGGATCTTTGTCCCAGTGTTTTGAGTTGCGATCACGTATTCTTAGTTAAGAGTATTCTTAGCTTCGTATTCTTGTTTTGTTTTGTTTTGTTTTTATTTACAAAGGAAAAAACAAAAAGAAATTCAGATTTGCAACTTGGAAGCAAAGCAAATTAACTTGGTACAAAAGTCGGACCGCTACATCATAAGTGTCACAGGAAAAGCTTTAAGTTTCATGAAGGGAGGTTTCTTTTTGCTTAGCAAAAAAATGGGAGAAACCCGCGCAAGATTTTGACAAAGAAAGATGTGATGAAGCTACTAAACATGTCAGAAACACTGAAATATACCTCTTCACACAAATGCAGTAAGAGACAAACACCATAAGATGATGAAATGATTGCAATACTGTAAAAATATTCTAATGTGTTGATTATGTCTTTATAATGATTATTTCTTTTTACCTGAACAGATGACACCAGCATCCTTACTGTGTGTACAGCTGTGTATACCAAATCCTCCGTGATTACACTCAGTCAGAGATCTCTCACTTCCTGAACAGGACACATCATCCAGCCAGATTTCTCCTGTTCCTTCACCAAAGTGAGCAGACTGAGTGGCTTTCAGTGCTGTTCCACAGTTTAACTCTCTGCAGACCACCTCAGCATCATTTATGTCCCAGTTATGATCACAGACTGTTTCCCAAGTGTTGTTGTAAAAGATTTCGACTCTTCCAGAGCAACGAGTCGACAGAGAACCAGCTAATCTGATGGCTACACCTGAACACATAGAATACGCCTTTTAAATAAAAACTGTCATGTTTATTGTGGGTTTACGGCAGCAGCTATTTGCCAATCTTTGTTAGTCATTTCTGTACAAGATTTAATCATCTGAAGTTCAGTTGGAGATACAACTGACAAGACCCACATTTTTGTTTCAGCAGGATGATGAAAAACATATTTCTCTGTGGATTACAGCTGCAGAGCATTTCATTGCTGAATATGACACAATATACTTAGTATAAGAACTCATTTCAACAGCTTACCTATAATTTTGTCACAAAACACACATTGACACATCTAAACTGAGTGGCTGATAAAACAACGTGTGAAGGATCAATGAGAGCTGTACCTGAGCATATGACTCCAGCATCTTTATGGTGTCTACAACTGCTCCCGAATTCTCCAAGCTGACACTGGGTTATAGATCTTTCATTTCCCGAACAGGCCACATCATCAAACCAGACTGGTCCACTTCCTTCACCAAAATGATTCTCTTTAGGAGCTGCCAGTGCCGTCCCATAGACTAACTGTCTGCAGACCACCTCAGCATCATTTATGTCCCAGCCATCATCACAGACTGTTCCCCAGCTGTTGTTGTGATAGATTTCAACTCTTCCAGAAGATGGGGACTGAGACCCAGCTAATCTGATTCCTAAACAAAAAATATATATACTTGATTATGATTGTAAAGTTTAGTGTTATTTAATGAAGGCAACAATTTTAACATCTGTCAGATACATTTATCAAAAAAAATACAGTAATATGAAGTTCAACAGGAAAGAAAATGGCAAGTAGCACAATAGCTACACAAGCTCAAGAGAGTATCCAAATACAAGACAGGTGAAATACCAAAAAGTGAGAAGTTTTTGGCTGTTGCAAAAATCGAATAGAGAATACAAAAACAAACAAACTAAACCAAAACAACAATAAAAACAAATTACACTGGGAGAACACAGTCAAACCAAAGAGAAGACAGCACTATATATAAACACACACACATGTTATTGAGCACGAAATGCAGTCTTCAAAGACAGTTGGACACAGGCTAACTATTCCAAAGCACATCACAAGGTTAAAGTAACCTTCAAAGTAAAACAGGAAACAGCAAGTAAAAAAAGAAGAATGAATTAGCACTAAACCTAATGATATGTCATGTTGCAGGTGGCAAGTGACAATTCAAAGCTTCACTTTGGCTGTTAGCAGTGGCTCATGGTCGAAGTTTTTCATTTTACTTGAATCTCTCCCTTCCTAATTATATACTTCCATCTACTTTGTATTTTGGTATTATTGGGTTTTTTTGTGCTTGTTAATCAGACCTTCCTCTCTGTCACGTCCTCACTCTGTTGTTGGGACGGCTGCTTGTTACTAGTTGTTGCCGGTACTACTGTTGACGTTGCCGCAGCAGCCCTGACAGTTAACATGTCCATCAATTTGACACATTTTACTGCATCTATTTCTTTTTTCTATTTCTCACGTAACTTTTCATATCCATCGTTTTACCTTCTTTGTCCATCATCAACTACATCTGCCACACTTAACTCTGTTCTACACAGTGCATGACAACTCAGGGAAAATAGGGGAGGGGCTGCTTGCGTAAGGAGATTTGTTTGAGGAAACGTCAGTAATGAAAATTAAATAATGGGCTACTGTTAGTGGTTGTAAGGTGCACAGCGGCCTTTAAGTCATATTTTACATGATCCAAAGAACATCTCACCTGTACAGATGACACCAGCATCCCGATGATGTCCACAGTTGTGCGTCCCAAATCCTCTGTGCTGACATTTAGTTAGAGAACTTTCACTTCCTGAACAAGCCACATTATCAAGCAGGATGTCTCCCTTTCCTTCACCAAATTGAGCTGATCGAGTGGCATTCAGTGCTGGTCCACAGTCTAACTGTCTGCAGACCACCTCAGCATCATTTATGTCCCAGTCATTATCACAGACTGTTCCCCAACGTTTTTTATAGTAGTATTCAACTCTTCCAGCACACGGAGTGGACCCAGAACCAGCTAATCTGATGGGCACACCTAAATGCAGAAAACAAATAACCTATTTAATTTGAAATACAGCATATAGTATATTTTGAATTTTGATTACTTGTTAATGATGGTAATAATGATGGTAGTTTCATTAGACTTTCAATTATATAACCTTTACAAACAAACAGTTAATGACACAAATGAAAAAAATCCACATAATCCCACTGTGGTGTCACACTGGCAGCTTCAAAGTGTGATGAACAAAGAACATATTTCTCCTTGTATTACACCTACATTCATACTGAATCATATAATTGCTCATTGCTGCACATTGAGCTCACGTATGAGCTCAGGTTGATCACTCACCCTGAATTTTAACACAAAATTTACACCAACAACAAACAACAATTCCAGATGGTAAAAATAATAAGATGGTGATGAATAATCCTGAATTTATCTCACCTGAACAGATGACACCAGCATTCCCATAATATCCACAGTACTGTTCCTCAAATCCTCTGTGCTGACACTCAGTTAGAGAACTTTCCGTTCCTGAACAGGACACATCAGCTGACCAGATTTGTACTGTTCCTTCTCCAAAAAAGTCCCGCTGAGTGGCATTTAGTGCCGGTCCACACTCTAACTGACTGCAGACCACCTCAGCATTATTTATGTCCCAGGCATTTCCACAGACTGTTCCCCATCTGTTGTTGTGATAGATTTCAACTCTTCCAGAGCAACGAGTTGACTCAGACTCAAGTGGGTTGACTAATCTTATTTGAACATCTAACAAGAGAAAGAGATAATTATATAATATATTTATTAGTTTTTGATTACTTAAAATCAAAGAAGTAATAATGTTGCTGAAAGCAAAAACAGTAAAAAAACAAACAAACCCAAATTAAATAAGGAAATGCAGTGAGGAAATGGAAAATTGTATTCCCCGTTGTTGTTTTTTTTTTTTAAAGCTTCCTGTGTCTTCTAAATTTCTTTGAAAATATGAAATTTTTTCTTTTAAAATTCTTGAATTCAGATGTTTTTAAAGAAGTTGTTTTTGTGTGTTTTCTTTTTTCTGTAAATCTTTTTTTCTATTTACTTTAACTATCAAAATATGAAATAATAATGTAGAAACACTTTTTAAACATTATATTTGTTTTTTTACCATTAGAATTTTCAATAAAAATTGGTTTAAAATTTATTCTGCTTTGTTAGACATTATTAAAGCAATGATGATGATGATGATGATGATGATGATGATGATGAAGCCTTTATTTGTCACTTGCAGTTGACTGCAGTGAAACTGGACCTCTTCCAACCATACATACAATACACAAACAACACATTGGGGAGACAGGTCAGAATAGGTAGCGTAAAGAAAAACAATGAAATGTACAACACATTAGGGCAGTGGAGGAGGAAAAAGAGAACTCTACTCAGACTTAGCTCCTGATAGGGGATCAGTATGAGAACAGAAAACAAAAACTCCTCAGCACAAAAGCACAGGAATTTGATATGCTATACGGCTGAGAGTGGCCGCCCTGGGGTTAAAATCTGACCCGCGGTCCTTTGTCGCATGTCGTCCCCCTTCTCTCTCTGCCCCTGCTTTCCTGTGCTTTCTTCACGGTATCTATTAAAAAAAGCTGAAAAAGGCCAAAAAAGAAAAGAAAAACCTTGTTGATCGGTCTGGTTCCTCACTGGCACTGCTGCTACTCCCCCTGGTGATGCTTCCTGACTCCCAAGCTGGGGCTTTTCACAGCAGAGGTTTGCTGTCACAGAGCAGTGGCCATTTCCTTCCACCTTCTTCTGTGTCTCTGCAGGTCCAGGATGCTATAGACACCATGCTCAGCTCATTGAGGGGACCACGAGCATTAGGACTGGAGTGCTGAAGGTGTGCCACCCCTGCCACTCTGGCAGGAGTGTCCAGTGATGGAGGGGGCACAGGTGTTCTATGTCGCTGGACACCATCCCCTGGTCCAGGAGAGACGTACTGGGTTCCGGGTAAGGTGCCAAAGAGGTATGTGGTGGGGCATGGTCTGCGAGGAGACGGAGGTCCCTGGTCCAGGGCAGCCTGTGCAGCCGGAGCTGGCGGCAGAGGAGCGGGACAGCCCCGCTAAG